TATTATTTTATTTAAGAGTTTTGAAAACGCTTTACTCTTTCCCCGATATTATAGAATGAATTAACTTATGAAAAAATATGAAAATATTTATGAAAAAATAGAATATTCATCAGAGTTTTTTAGTTTATTTGATTAATTCACAATTCACGAATATCATAGAAATATAGTATCTAGAATTGTTATCCATCTACTTTATAAAAAATCACAATTTTGAATATTTAAAGTTGAAAATTAAAATTAATAATTAGAGTAATGTGATTCAAAAACAATAACCGATTTTATTCTATTTTTTATGATTTCAATAAATTCCTAGAGAAATAATTTAAACTTTGGGATAGTTATTATGAATTGACAAAATTAAAGTTTGTTATCTTGGTTATGTAAAACAAAATAACGTTTGATATTGTTGGCTGATTGTATAATATCGCATTTATATGTCCTTTTATTCGTATTTTAGCTTATCCTTCTGCTTGTCTCACTTATAATTCATAAATTTACTAAATTAATTAAATATCTATTTTTAAGATAATATATTAGGATAAATTTCATAGGATGTGTAGCTTATGATAAGACGGATGAGTTAACACTAACATCTTAGCAACATTATGTTTAAAAACAATATTAAAATGAAGTTAATATTGTAATGAAATTTATATATGAAGTATATGCGAAAATGATCTTGTTCGTTGAACTATGTAATTATTTTGTTATCGTCGATGATTTAATTTACACGTAATAATTTTTGTTATTTTATTTTATATTATATCGTCTAAAATTTTGCATTTGGTGTATAAGTATAATTGGCTAAATTTAATCATGTGAACATAACCCGTGATTTCTATCTTTAAAATCATGAAAAAATGTCATTAGTTTTTTTTGGATGCAGTTAAAAAAATGTAAACAACTTTTTAATTATCTCAACCTCAATTTTTTTTAAAATATAGTTGATATTTAGAGGAAATATGAATATAATTAACTCAAACTTAAAACTCAAATTAATAATACCTGATTATGAATTTTTAGACACGAGACTGAGGGTGTAATAAGCTCATACTATTTTTTTTTCACCAGTTTAATCTCTAGTATAATACTTTATTATTATACCTTTTATAAAATTAATTTTATAAATTTGCTTATAGTTGCTTTTTTGTAATAAATAATTTACAATGTATAAAAATATTGCATCATAAAATTTTAAATATTATTATACTATTAAATTTGTAAAGCGAGGAAAAAATATAGAAGTAGAAAGGGTCAGTGGATAGCTCTTTGGCTACCATTGAAGAATAAAAAAATTTTTGTTACAAATACCTGTTAAATTTTAACAATAAAACATTTTCTTATAAATCTATCTAATCATAGGTAAATGAATATGAATAATAAAGTGGACCGGAAAAACTGTGGATTATAAAACAAAACGGACAAATTGATTCAAATATTAATGACCTACCTTTAAGATTCTATATAATAATTTTATTTCATATACATTAATTTTATGCACCCCATTTAAGGTTTAAATATTTTCATATTTTATCCAAAGATTGAAGATTTGGTATCTTGGTTATGTATGCCAAACAACGTATGATCTTGTTGGGTGATTGTATAATGTCGCATTTATATGTCCTTTTATTCGTATTTTGGCTGTTCTGCATGTTTGCCCGATTAATAAATTATTATTAGCTATTCTTAAAAACATATAATCGAATAGATTTCATACTAAGGATGTGTAGCTTATGATAAGACGGATATAAGCATATCTCTTCAATAATCTTGTGCAATTTATGCTGGCATGTTGAAGAAATTTTAATAGCATTGATAGTTACTATCAACAGAAAACTTTATAATATTTAGTTTGATCAAAACTTAGTATCAAACTATTTATTCCAATAATTTATTTACACATAGAGTATAGTATATTAAAATATATTTATCATATAAAATATATGATTGCCCTTATAAACGGAGAGCATTATAAAATGTCCAGTTTCCCGCTTGTGAGTTAATCCTTAAAAGAAAAAATATTTATATTTTGAACATTTTTAATTTTTAAATCGGGCAAATGTGTTATCCGATTAAAACAATATACTATAAATTCATCCATTCCCTATTCCTTACCCTAAATTATTTTTAAACATATTAATTTTGTAGAAATATTGATATGTAGTCGAGTATAGTGTTGCAACAATATTAGTAATATTTACAATCAATACAAATATAAAAATCATATTATGAGTATTTAAATCAATATAACTCAGCCCCAATATTAGTAGTCGAAATATTTATCTAACAATATCAATTGGTTTAAAAATAATACCAAAATAATTCAAAATACAAATATATCATATTTGTTAGATATATTTTATTTATGTATTATTTCATGGATAATGCTAAGAATATTTCATCATATTCCTAATTTACCAGTGATATTATTTGTTGTATAATTTCTTGAAAAATATATTCGATTTCTTTAGAAAGATGAAAAAATTTTATATATTTATCTGTCATAATAATATTTTTGTATCTATAACGAGAATAAAATAAAAAATATCATAAAATTTATAAATTGTAACACAATAATTTCATATGAACGTTGAAATCGAATTGTATAAAATCTAACTTAAATTGAAAATTAAGTTTAAAAAGAATATTACATTGAAATTAATATCATAATGAAATTTAAACATTAAGTTGATATGAAAATGATATTGTAATTGTATGTTATACTATATAATTATTTTGTTATCGTGGATGATTTTTTTCCATTTAACACGTAATAATTTTTGTTATTTTATGTTATATCGTCAAAAAAATTGCTTCGGTGTGTAAGTATAATTGGATAAAGATAATCACGTGAACGTAACCCGTGATTTCCCTCTATTTATTTGTTTTTTATTGGTCGCATTTAAAAAAAAATTAAAAAACTTTATCATTTCAACAAATAAAAAGTAAAATAAATAAAACTTCCTCATTGAAATAGTTTGAAATCAATATAACTCATCCCCCATTAAATTCTGATAAAATAGTTTTTAGGTAAATCCTTAATTTTGGAATTCATGAGAGCTCCTTCCTTCCTAGAAAATGTAAATTCGAACCCGGTTTATATAATTGTGACAAAAAAATATTAAAAATAAATATTTTACATAAGGAAGCTAATAAAAATAAATAAATTTTGTTAAATCAATCACGAAATAATTTGATCATCCCATATTAATATCTTAGTAGATAAATATGGACATGGCTCAAGAAATCCAGAAGAAAAGTCCATCCCTACTATCATAATAAGATGGCAGAGATATTGTGTCGACGCGGATATTATTATTGGCTTAGTGATAAGCAAATAAATATTTTTCAAGATTAAAACTTGATGCTCTGCTATTTTTTTTTGTTCCTTATAATGCTTTGTCTAGATTTTTTGCTTTCTAGGGATCAGGGTAGAAAAATATCAGGATCTTATGTCAAGAGATAGATTATTTGCGAGAAGATTGGAGGGTCATAAACCATTAATACTTTTTTAATTTTATCACGATGACATTTTATCGTGCCTATTTTGTTTACATTTTTTCAAAAAATGAATATTTTTTTTTCTGTTTTTTCTTTCTATCTATTTTTCTCAATTTTGTTTTTTTAAATTAAAAATAAATATATAAAAAGTAGAATAATTTATAAAAAAACTATATCATGAACATTAAAAAGAAAGGCAAAATTAATAAAAATATGATAAAAATCTCTAAATGTAAATACAAATAAATTATAAATATCATTGAAGAATCCCTAAATGGATGTGCAAATTTGAAAAAAAAACTATGACTTAATACGCCTTAATATTAATCAATTTTCTTCCACACATGCCTGTATTGAGCCGTTTTTTTTACTTAGAAATAAAAATTAAACGCTGTTTTGACTCGTTGTTACATTTAGAATATTGTTTTTTATTCCTAATTTATTTTTAAAAAAAATTCGTATAAAAATTATAAATAAATTTCTAAGAAATATGCTCTCTATTATATTTTCCGATTCAATAATTAATATAATTTAAAACTTATACGTAAAGATTTCTATTTATCTAAATTTTTGAATTATATTATTTAATGATCCTATCTATGCTCGATAAGATATATGAGCATGTCCAGATAAAATTTTATATGTGATAAGTAAAAACTAAAGAATATATACCATATAATAAATATAAACAAAATCGGGGAATTTTATAATATCCAACTTTGTAGAACCCTATGCTTTATTAGTTTAAAAAATAACTCTCAAAGTTTTCTTTAGACTTAATATGCAGGCAACACTTTATCATTGAAAGATAGAATATCTAATATGTATAAGATGTTAAATTGCGTAAATGTATCGGATTGTCTAAAAACCCATATATATATATGCCAAACGAATTTCCGGAATACAAAAAGGTTCATTTTTACGATCAATATTTAAAGTGAAAGAAATCATCTATCACAAATGCCCCAGTCTGGGATTTTGCACAAATATAAAGAAGTATAATTTTCTATCTAAAATAAAATCTCAAAAAAAAAAAAATTAGTTTCCTTCTCTCTTTTCTTTTTTATTATTATGTTGTTTTATAAATTATATTTTAATTATTATTTAGGATATTAAAAATTAAATAGTTAGGTTGAAATTTTATATTTTTATTAAGTGTACCTACTATCATCATACAATGTTTAAATAGATCAAATAGGATTGGGGTTAGATCTTTATTTTGGAATTCAACATAAAATAATATTTTATTATAAAAATTTTGTCTATACTAAAAGTTTGGATATTATATTAAAAAGTAAATTTATAATGCATATGTTTTTTTTTAATTGTTTAAATTAAATTGATTATCAGAAAATTTTATTTTCAATATAGTTCGGAAGGATTACAATCAAGATTTATTTTAAAATATGATTTAGAAAAATTAGCAAACTAATAAAAAAAATATTAGGTCACTTCAAATCTAATATTATTTTTAATAATAAAATAATAGATTTACTTACCATCAAATTGGCAGATGATGAGGGTGACAATGAGTAATGATAAGACTTTCATTATCTGGAAATTTATTTTAAGTTGATATCTTTTGCTTATATATTTAATAAATTGAAAAATTTTAATATAAGGTAAATAATTTTTTTTTTTAAATACAAAAAAAAAATAAAATGTTTTTTAAGTTCTATATTTTTATATCCAATATTATTTGTTTACATTTGTTTTCTAAATTTTATAGAAAAAGCTTGATAAGCCTTTTTTTAAATACGATAAGATATGATATCTTTATTTAATAATTTATTAGGGCAACTTAAAATTTTATCGGAGGGTAACTACATTATAAACTTGTTATTATAATATTTCTTAAATACGAAAAACTGATTTCAAATTTTATGCCCGACTCTTATATCAGTTTAAAAAAGTTTTTATTTACAAAATATATATTATTATCCCATTTCTTTACATAATTTTTTAAAATTTGTCATTTTAAATTAATTTAGGTGGAGTAAATAAATTTTAAATAATCTATTATATCATTAGCTATCTATCTAAAATTGAATTTAAAGGTTTCAGTTATTTATAATTATTTTTTTTTAAATATCAGCTTGGATTTAATAAAATGCATATTATAGATCGCTCAAATATAATCCATTTGTGTAAGTTTTTAAAATATAAAAAAAATTATTATGGACATAGTCTAAATTATAAAAATAAATATGACAAATAAATGTAGATATGAATGACAAATTATTAAAATGGTATTAAAATACAAATATTTTATTGTCAGAATATTATGTATGTATATAGTATGCTCTACTTCAAACCGTTTATTATTGTTTTTTTGCTTGAAACCTTATATTTTAGCCAAAATTAATTATCACGGCCTCAATTTTTTTAAAATGTAGTAGAAATTTATAGGAAGTATAAAAATAATTAAAACAAACTCTGATTACTAATACTTTATTATAAATTTTTTAGACTCGAGACTGGAGGGTGTAAGAAGCGCATGCCATTCTTTATCCCTTTTTTAAATCTTTTGATACTATAATTTATTATTATTGTACCTTTTATAAAATTAATTTTATAAATTTGTTTATAGTTGCCTTTTTTTAGAAAATTATATTAATATTAAACAATTTTAGAAGGGCAGTCATAACAACTTTGTAATAAAATTTATTTATTACGTAATTTATGATTATAATTTTTGTAGCAAATAATTTGCAATGTATAAAAATATTGCAGCATAAAATTTTAAATATTAATACACAACAAAGAATAAATTCATTACTTATAATACTATTAAATTTGTAAGGCGAGGAAAATATTTAAGAAGTAAAAAGCGTCAGTGGATAGCTCTTTGACTAGTAGTCTAGCATAGAACAATATAAAATTTATTTATTATCAATACCTGTTAAATTTTAACAATAAAATATATTTTTATAAATCTTTCTTATATAATCTTAGGTAAAGGGATATGGAAAATAAAGTCGACCTGAAAAACTGTGTATTATAAAACAACACGGATAGATTGAGTCAATTTATCAATGACGTAGCTTTAAGATTTCTATTTATTAATTTTATTTCAAAAAAATATTAATTTTATGCACGCCATTTGAGGTATAAATATTTTCATATTTTCTCCGAAGATTGAAAGTATTGAAGGAAGGTAAAAAAAATCTGGTCCTATCCATCATATACCAACCTGCCGATTGAAGAGATCTATTTTTTGAGAACAACATTCAGTTTACTTTTTACCTTTTACGTTCTACTCATGGTCATGGCCTCGACTGGTCATTCATTAATATGAAAGTTTGCCCTATGCCACATTATACAATTAATATTTTTTTGTAATTTTTATTTATATTTCCTTTTAGGAGACATTTTAGTTCATTTTTATTTTGCTATATAAAAACCATAAGTTTGTCATGTAAGCATTTTACTGAAAAGTCCTTTAAAAAACAAAAAAACATAAATAATTTTTTTAAAAATAAACAAAATAAAGAGAGACCCGGTTATTTTTTAAAAATGATTTATAAGAAAAATGTTTAAAGAAAAAAAGCATATATGTATATATATTTTAGCCAAAATTAATTTACTTGGCCTCAATTTTATTATATAAACTTTAAAAAATAATTAACTCAACCTTAAAAATCTGACTTATTTTTTAATCACATTATTTAGTATTGATATGTTAATATTATGATTTTTATTTTGGATATTAAATGGAAGAATAAAAAGATTTCGATATTTTACTACACTAAAATGAGATTACATCACAAAAAATGGCGCAGTCTATAAAAAGTCTATCGGATTCGAACCCGTGTTACAAAGATTGGTACAACTTATTTTCAAGAATTTAAAAACACACAACCAAGTTTAACATCATCACAAGTAAAATCTCTGTTATTAACAACAATAGCATGTGATACTTACAAAATACTGGTAAATTTATGTGCACCTAATAGACCGGGAAACAAAGAGGTATTAGAAATACATAATATTTTAATCAAACATTTTCATCCCAAACCTAATATAATAGTAGAGATAAAATTTTTATCAATATAATCAGCAAAATAATGAAAAATTAATAGACTATATACAAAATCTACGAAAATTAGCAACGACTTGTGATTTTGAGGAATATTTAAATATTAAGAGATAAATTTATATTCGGAATAAATAATCCAAAAATTTTACAAAGATTACTAGAAGACGATATAGACATAAATAGAGCTATTCAGATAGCTACTGCAGTAGAAACAGCAATAAAAAATACAAATTAATACAAAATGATGAAACTAAAACCGATCATTTAGAAGAGGAACATATTGATATTATAAATAAAATTAAAAAAGTTAATAATGATAATGATAAACAATCAAAATCATATAATAATTATAATGCGAGCTACAAAAACCTAATCCATCCTACTTCTGCGACGGAAATCACAGAAGGGAAAATTGTCTTTTCAAGAATGCCACATGTTATGCAACAAAATTTGGCACATTGCTCGAGTCTGTAGAAAAAAAATAGTGAATTTTATTAATAATAAAACAAACGAATATAATCCAGAATTGTGGGTGGATGTCAAAATATACAACAGAGATATAAGAATGGAATTGGATACTGGAGCTGGGGTCAGTATAATTAACGAAATAGATTGGAAAAATAAACTTAATCATCCTTGCATGCTAAAACCTAAAAGCTATACAGGAACCAATATATTACTATTGGGTCAGACTGTAGTAAAAGTACAATAGAAAGGGCGAACATTAGAACTACCTCTCATAATTATATAAGGATATACCAAAAATCTAATTTAAAATTGGATAACTAAATTTCCCAAAATGACTGAATTACTTGAAAGGACCATACAAATAAATAATATAATATATAAAATGAATTTCCTCAATTATTTACCAAAGAATTATGCTTGAAAGATTTTAAGGCACAAATATATATGAAAAACGAGAAACCAATTTACTGTAAATCACGTCCCATACCATACGCATTAAAAGATAAAGTTGAAGAAGATTTAGATAGATTGCAAAAAATATGAGTAATAGAGAAAATTAATCATTCACTTTATGCATCACCCATAGTAATTGTTCAAAAGAAAGATAAAACATTAAGAATTTGCGTGGATTTTCAAAGAACTATAAATCAAAATATAAATATTAATTCATATCCAATACCAAGAATCCAAGATTTATTAGCCAATTTGGGAAAAGGAGAGGAATTTTCAATATTGGATTTCTCAGATGCCTATTTTCAAATTAAAGTGGGTGAAGAGTCTCAAAATATCTTGTAATCGATACGCATAGAGGATTATTTAAATATACAAGACTACCTTTTGGTATATCGTCTTCTCCAGCAATATTTCAACGAGCCATCTAGAATTTATTAAAAGATTTTGAGGGAGTAGCTTGTTATTTAGATGATTTTATAATAATCTAGAAAAATAGAGAGAAACACGAAACAAATTTTAAAAAGTTACTAAAATGTCTAGATGAAAATGGAAAATCAGATATTCAGTAAACTTTTTGAAAATCAAAGATAAAACCTAAACAATGATATTCAAGAGATTAACTCTTCTACTCAAATAGTATTCCATTATAATTTAATAGCATTGGCAAGGAAAAATAATACACTTGGAACAAACTTATGATTAGTGTTGTTAAACGACTCGTTTTGAGCCGATTTTTAAAAACGGCTAACTCAATATTTTAGCCAGAAAAATGTTGCCTAAGCCCTGAGATTTCGTTGATAGATGTCCAAACCTTTGTTCATTCTACAAGCAAAATCTTCAGGCTTGCGTAATATTATTTTGGGTGGAATATTGAGTTAGCCGTTTTTAAAAATCGGCTCAAAACGAGCCGTTTAACAACACTACTTATGATGTAAGAAATATTTTAGATTTTACTAGAATAAGACATAAAGCTATACCTAATGTAATAATTCCTATAATATTTAACATTGAAATTTGATCATTTTAATCATTTCGTAATCAAGATTGAAGATGATATAGATGTATTCTCAATAAAGACATAAAAGAGTAATATTGCAGGAACCAAATGATTCTCAATGTGAAACATATCAATTTTATAATAAATTATTTTTATATTATTTGAATATGATAATTTCAATAAAAAAATAAATAAATAATATATTTGTTGTTAATTATTATTCAAAATTATAATTTAAACAAAATAAAACACGGCTCACCATTTAGAAAAAGATTAAAGTTTGGTAATGATTTTTTATACAAATTAATCAAAACATTAAATTCAAACATTTGCTTTTGATTTTTTATTGTTTTTGATGCTGCATTCCATTATTTTTTGTGACAGTAAGAGCTTATTTTTGGTAAATATTGCGTAAATAGATAATAATAATAGGAATAAATTGCCTTAAATTATTATTTTGACGTTCTGCCTTAATCCCGCAGTGGAGTTAAAGGAGAATGTTATTTTTTAATTATATATTATATTTAATAAATAAATAAAATCGAGTATTGCTTAATTCCTTGTTCATTCATGTCATAAAATTTGAATTACAATAATCTGATAATATTTTTAATAAAATGTTGTTAATTTATATTCATAATCCATGATAATGGACCATTTATCAAAGCATTAAAATAGACTAAGACATTTTTCTAAAAAGATTTATCATGAATGAACAGGTCTAAAATGGTGCCTTTAAAGAAGTGTCGATGAATATATCTTTTGATCTGTTTATTCAAATGTTTATTTTTTTTTTATTAATATATTAAATTGTTTCATATTTATATTATAATTTTGGAATTGTTATAATTATGTAAATACCTCTGGATTTAAAAATAAATGTGAAAGGATTACGGTTAAATTTAAAAAAAAATAATTCTATTATAGGGTGACTTTCAGTTTAAGTTTGAAAGGGGGCTAAAAACGAAATTAAATTGAGCAAAACAAAAAAAAAATGGAAAATAAAAGGAAAATAATAGACAATAATTTATTAATCCAAAACAATAATTTGGGAAAAGGGAGGAGGTTTATTCATTAAAAAATCTAAGGGCATCTAGCACTAAACTCCTCCTAAACAGAATTATTTAATCTGTATTTTAATATAAGTTGGAATTATAATTAAAATGTAAGATGGCGATCCAGCTAAACCTCTAGATTTTTTTTTATCCGTTGTTGAATGAATTCAAATCTTTAAAGAAAATATAAATAATGCTTAACCTATAGATAATAATAACAATAATAATATTGTAGTTGTTTTCAAATAATTAAGATGCTATAAAATATTTACTTGAAGGAGCTTAACCTAGTTTTTTGATTAAATATTAAATGGGCCAAAACTAATTAGTCAAAAAATATTTAGTATAAATATAAAAAAAAATATTTAAGGCTATGCATATCCTATGTAACGCGGTCGTAAGACTAGCAAAGCTCCTTAGCCGATGCTTAATTACCTTCCGCCAATGTTATCATCTAAAAATTTGACAAAGTCGTTTTGGAGTCCACAAGCTAATTACACAGCACTATATTTATGTCCATGGAATATAGTAAGGGGAATGAACGTTATTATATTAGGTATATCAGCTGATAAAATATTAGAAACTCACTCAATTCCAACTTTTCCTTTTCTTCTCAGACAACTGAATCGCTTCTCCAACAAAAAACCTTGACGAGTAAACGTTGTTTTGATTAAAATTAAACCGAAAAATCAGATGAAATATTAATTCTGGCGATGTTTAAAAATAGGATTGAAATAAAAAAAAAATTTTCAATCTTAAATGCATATTTTAATATGATTTTAAAAAAATTCAATTTATTTACTAAATTTAATATCGAATCCATGATGGCGAATTAACTCTTTTAAGATATTTCCCACGTTTGCGCGATTTTTAAGATAATGATAGAAAATATATGTGTTGATTCAGAATCTGTTAATATTATTATTATCACTATAAAGATTGTGGACATATGAAAAAAATATTCTTAATTTAATTTTAGCGATTTAGAACTTCCTATCGAATTCCATTTCTATCTCCAAAAACAATCTTATTCGACTGCATCTAAATTTTTTTTTAGCAATTTCACCAATTATAAAGTGATACTTTTATTAAATTTCGAATAAAGAGAAATTTAATGTTTTATTATGTTAATTCCTAATTCTCATTTGTTTCGTTTTAAATATGTATTTTTATTTATTGAACCTATTTTTAATATAATAACTGATTTTTTAAAAAAAAAAATTTTAGACAAAGGGTTTACCTTTTTAGTGTTGTTAAAAGCCTCATTTTAAGCCTATTTTTAAAAACGGCTAACTCAATATTTTAGCCAGAAAAAATATTGCCTAAATATTTCGATAATATATATCTAGACATTTGTTCCTTCTATTAACACAATCTTCAGGCTTGCGTAATAGTTTTTCTGAATGAAATATTGTGGCCGTTACGTTTTACTTAAAAAATGTTAAATATAAATTTTATTTTTTTCAAATGGATAATAAAAAAATTAAATTATACAAAAATTATATATATTACAAGCTAAGTTCTTTTTTGTAACAATTTGTCATTTATTTTTTAAATTTAGATCAGATATACAAAAGCACTTAGCAGCACAGCTCACGTTTAATTGGCACAGAAGATGGAAGGGTTGTATTATATTTAATTGAAAATATTTAAAGGATGACCTTTATTTTTTAAAAATTTATTAAATCTTTTTTACAAGAATCTTCATTTGTAACCTCATCAATTTTTTTTATACCATCATCAGATCATATGATGCCTTGACAGAAATATTTGGAGAATTGAATAGCTCATCTGTGCTTATTTCCTACCGTGAGTAGATCTATATCCAAGGATGTATAAATCCTAGTAAAAATATATATTTTTTGTTGTAATTTGTTTATAGGACATCAAAATAATTTTGTCGCTCATCTCTATAATATAAGATTGTTGAAAAAACAATTCTACTTTAGATGGTACCAACCAAACAAATTGATCTGAAGGCAATTCCATCCCTAAACCAATGTTATCAGTCAACACTTTGGGGAATTTTAGAAGGGATTCAAAAAATATGCAAAAACATAAGACCCTTATAGATTTAAGCCATATTGGGAACAAAATTATACCTCAGAAATATGTAGATTTAAAATAAACGATTTCATACATGTTTCGAATTATAAACTAGGATTCTTTTATATTTTTTATATTGCCCATATTTCAAGCAATAAAATATTTTATACATAATTTATATTTTCTACTTGAGCAATATTGGTTTATAATAACTAATAAAAGGAATAAATTAAAATCATTCCTTATGAAATTTTAAGAAATTATACTTATGAAAAATATTAGTTTTTTTCAATAAAAAAAATTTACTTTTTTAAATATCGAATTTTAAGGGGAAAGTCAAAAAATCAGATATTATCACAATTTAACTTTTCAAATATATTAAATTCAGTATCAAGTATATATTGATAAAGTTTTGCCTGTTCAAATGTCGCATTATCAAATAACTGAGTGATAAATTGCCATCTTGATAAAATGTCTCCAAACCACCAACATTCACCAATATAAAGGTTGTTTTATTTTAAATGGCATAAGGAATGAAATATAATCTGTATTGCCTTGGGTTACATTATCGACAGCAGACACATAATTAGTTGATTAAAATTTATAACTAGTTGATAATAATTGTATAACCAATGAAAAAATAATAATAACAATTGAGCTTTTATCTATCATTTAAAAATAAGTTTAAAAAATTAGCATATTTATATAAATTTAAATACATTAAAACAAAGACCCACAAGCTTAGTTGATTTTTGTTACAAGTTGCCTGGCCCATTATTTAAATGTCTGCCTCTAATTTTCTGCAGCTAGGTCCATTAAAGAAAAAATTCAATTATGGTTAGCTGTTAATTTTTTTTGGCATAATGCCCAGCCAGTTGAATTTTTGCCCAGTCTAGTAAAATTGTCTGGTCAAGCTCACGTGTTCTCTGACAGACCAGGTAATGTAGAACTCTAATTCAAAATCAATATTATAAAATCACATATCACTGTTGTTGGTTATGCAGGTTTTAAAATAAGTATCTATAACACCTCTCATTTGCTGAATGTCTTCCTTGTAAACCCTGCAACACCCACCTATGTAAGTTGCACCCAGTTCTACCCATTTATTTAGATAACCTGATAAAGGCAATTGATTTTTATCAGCATTTCGCCATTTCTTGTTCATGGGATCCCATATTTCACCTCTGTTGGGGTAAACTATCAAAGCTGGACAGTTGGGTGATGAAAATTTTATAGTCTTAAAATTATTTGTCATTTTTAAAGCATTTATAGATCTGACTTCTTTGCCTACTCCCTTCCCTGATTCATGGTCAAAATAGTTATTTTTGACTATTAATCGATGGCTAGCAATTTCACACAATAATGGTTCAATCAGCCCAGGATGGACACAATTCACCCCCATAGCTATGACTTGGGGGTAAATTGATAAAATATCATAAGCTTTTATAAAAGGTTCACCACTACTTATCATATGTCTCGCAACATTTTCTTCATTGTTTTCTAAATTGGATCTAATTGTAAAACTGAACCATGCCTTAATATCTGATATAAAAAAATAAAGCATGTTATAAATTTAAAATGAAGTATTTAACCTTTATATTTAAATGCAAAAGACAATTCTTTCAATAATTCTGCTATAGCCAGAGCTTCCTTAATACAAGGAATAGTTTCGCATGCTAAAATATCTACACCACTATCAAGTAATTGAACAATTCGAGGCCTATGCCATTCCTTTAAAAATATTTGGGTTACATTCTCCAAATATATGTTTGAATATTCACTCTGGTCACACAATGAGGCTCCATATGGCCCTACAGAACCAGCTATCATGATAATTTTTTTGAAAGTTAATAAATTATAATCATGAGTTTTTTCAGTATTAATCTTTTGATTGATTTGTAAGTTATGGTTATTTTGCTGATTTAAGATGTCTAGTTTGTTTTGATTTTCATATGTTTTATTGGATCTTAGGCAACCTGTTTCATGAATAGCTCTTTCAGCTAATTTTACAGCTAGGTCTATGCTATCTAATGCTTGTCTGCTATTAAAATGAGAGGTTTCATAAAAACCTTTGATACTTGCTTGATAGGTATTTGTGGTAATTATATCCGATCCTGCAGCTATAAATTGTTTATGAACTTCTACCACAGATTTTGGATCTGTTATTAAATATATTGAGGACCATATTGAGTTGGTTTCAGGTATATGATGACCATTTCTTTCAAGCTGAGAAGCAAATCCTCCGTCTAGCAAATATACAGAGATGAATCTTGCCATAAAATTATATTTTTAGTAAAAAATTTATAAAAATTAGTAATTTTGTTATTTTTTTAAAAATTTTTTTTAAGAATGTTAATTGAAAGATGTCAATTTAAGAAATAATACGTCCTTTCATTTTTTAAATTAAATTAAAATTAATATTTTTATTTTCATTTTACATAAAAATCCTATTAATTTTACCAAAAAATAAATTAAAAATTATCGCCAAGGATAATAATTTTTTTTATATCGTTATTAAATTTAAAAAAATTTAAATTCATTCATATTTCTTTAGACATCATTCAAAAAACAGTTGTTCTGATATTTCTAGTCACTCTTGCCAGCTATGAGATAAATAATTTGCTAAAATTTATTTTTAATGAAATTTTCATATTTAAACTCAGGACATGAAATGCCTATGCTTGGCTGTAATATAGTATATAATCATGCTAATTTTTTAATTATAGTAGGTACATATAAAATAACTGAAAAAGAAGAAATGTTCAAGGTATTTAAGTATGCTCTTGAATGTGGATATAGGGCATTTGGTAAATAAAATTATATATTTTTGTTATATATCTACCTCTAAAAAGAAAATTATTAGCTAAATATAATGTATGAATTAAGTTATTAGTTAAAATAATTTATATAATATTCTTTAAATTTTTTATTTTTTTAAAGACACTGCTCAGATGTATGGAAATGAAGAAATTATTGGAGAGACTTTGGAAGAACTTTTGCCTAAATTCAATTTAAAAAGAGCAGATGTATTTATTACATCAAAATTAAGTAATTTTTTTATATTATATTTTCCAAACAACTTTTATTTTTACAAAATTATTTTTAACATGTTAATAATTTATTGTATAATCAATATGATTATATTAAAATTCCTTTTATATATATATATCTGAACTATATATCTGAGATTTATATAAACTAATTTTAAAATATATTAAATTTATTATAGCCCATCTAATATGGGTATCATTGTGACTAATATTTTTGGCCAACTTAGACAGCTAATTTATTAAAAATTTGTTTATTTTTATTATTGCATCATAATTATAAGTAAAATTATATATATATTATATTCATAACAAAATAAGAGTATATTTATATAAAATTAATTTATTAAATAATAGGATGTTATCTTTATTGATTATGTTTTATTTGCAAAGCGGGTTTATGAATATTGAGAGGGTTCCTTTAGAAATGTTGAATCTTTTAGTACATTATCAGTTGTTTTCTAGAAGTGTTCAATATAATATTGGGATGAATAATAAGAAACAGGTTTATTTTATCAAAGAATCCCATAATATATTTTAATAAATTTATGAACCAAGTTTATTTTATTAAAGAATCAAATTTATTTTACACTGAAAATACAAGTAAAATTTGTTGTTTATATAATAAAATATTTAATTTTATCACTGAAGGTAACGAAATGACGTTTCGGAATAAATTACAACTTGTATAATGATTTCATACTGGTTCATCATCACTTCTTCCCCTTTTAAAATTTAGCCTATAAGGTATTGTATTATAACATTTGTATAAGGGATCAGCTGTGTCTGCAAAATTACATATAAATTTTTGATAATAGCTCACCATCTCCAAAAATGTTGCCAATTCCTCTTTTGTCTTCGGTTCTGGCATGTTTGAAATAGCTTTAATCTTATCTGCATTTGGATGTATACCTTTATCTTCTATATCATGCCCCAAGAACCATAGTTTTTCTTTAAAAATATACTTTTTTGTAAAATTTGGTGTAAGTTCATATTTTTTATCTTGTCAAATACAATTTTTATGTTATTCAAAAAAGCTTCATCATCGTCCCCAGTAATCAGTAGATCTTCAATATAAAATATAACATCTTTTATACCTGTAATAGCCCTTGTGTTGATATTGGGAAAAAATCTCTAGATTCTTTGTGTATAGGCACTTGAAGAAATGCGTTTTTTAAATTCAATCTTTGTAAATTTCTTACCTTTAGATAATTTTGCAATTAAATCCATTGATGCGCGGTATGGGTACTTAAAATATTCTAAAGCAGGGCTAATAGTATTTTTGAAGTCAGCACAGAGCCGAAGTGAGTCATCGCTCTTAAAAACGGGAGTGAGAAGACTAGCCCATCTAACATCTTCAACAGGTTCAATGATTTTGTCGTTTATCTACTTTTGAAGTTCTTTTGTTATCAAATCAATTCTTGAACATGGTATACGCCTTGACGGTACGATTTTCGGTGTGGCATCTAGTTTTAAACGTAATTTGACATAGCTGCGGAAGTATTTAGCTTTTTGTTAAGTTTAAAATTGCATTGCTTAGTTAATTCTTGTATAGTATTATCATAATCTTCCTCAACTAGATTCACAAATTTATCTAGTATATTTCCAAAAACTGTTATCCAAGTCCTCCCCAAAAGTGCAATCCTGTCACTTTGGACCACGTTAGCATTTAAGATTTGAGTTGGTCAGTGCCTAATACTTTTATTATTTTTCCATCGTATCCAGTTAATTTTGTACCCGATTTATCCAATCTTTCTCGCGGTATGAATCGGTAGGATGCTGAATCTAGAACCTGTATCCATCTGCCTTAATATTGGCACGACATTTAAATGTACTGTAACTTTGTATGCATCAATTAGCCGTGTTATCATTATCGGCATCCATGTTGTTCTAATATTTACAGTGTCAGTGTTGTATACTTTGTTCGTGTATCGTGATTGCCGTTTTCTTGAAAATTGAACACAATGTTCGGAGGAATAATTAGAAACAGGTTTCTTTTATCGAAGAATCCCCGCGATATATATTTTAATAAATTCATGAACGAATCAAATTTATTTTTCAAGTTTTCGCCCTCCTATCATCTTATCGTTTGTCACCGGTTTCTATATCATTTGTTGGTCGCTTGTCCTTTGTTGATCTTGATAGTTAACGTTAGTTCATAACTAGTATATTTCATTAATTTTTCATCCACAAAAAAAAATATATTTTAAATTTAAAAATTCTTTATAATGATTTTTTTTTTTAAATCTTTTTTTTTAGGCAATATTATATTTCTGATTGGTCTTTGACTGACTTTTAAGACCCTGATCTTGTACTTGTATACTTTGATTTCGTAATGGTTCGTCATCACTTAGACTTCAAAAAAATACTATAAACCCTGCTTTAGAAGATTTTAAGTGCCCAATACCACGCACCAATGATTTAATTGCAAAATTATCTAAAGGTAAGAAATTTACAAAGATTGATTTTTAAAAACGAATTTCTTCCAGTACCTAATACACAAAGAATCTAGAGATTTCAACACAAGGGCTATTGCAGTTTTACGAGACTTCCGTTTGGATTAAAGACTTCGTCAACAATATTCTAACAAACCATGGACACTAAATTTCCGTGACATGAAAGATGTTATATATTATATCGACTATCTACTGATTACTGGGGACGATGATGAAGCTCATTTGAATAACATAAAAATGGTATTTGACAAGATATCAAAATATGGGGCTATTTTTACAAACATGATATAGACGACAAAGGTATACATCCGAATATTATATTGAATTTCCAGTAAACAACATGGTGCAAGTGTTGCGATGTGTTCAATTCCATGATCTTCACAAAATTTCTTGAATAAGTTACTAGTAAAGTTATTTCCATTATCACTCACTATTTTTTTCAGGTATACCAGATAAGCCTATTATTTTCATCGATTCCTTAATAAGTTGATTCAGTTGTTATGTTTCTCATTCTTTTATTAATGGGGAACTTGCTAAATGCGTCGACATATACCATAAAATTGCTATCTTAATAGTAAATAATAGGAATTTGATTTGGACTCAATATTTTGGTAAAATTAGAAAGTTTTACAAATTATCACCGTATTCGAAAGGTTTTTCTAGAAACTCGTTTAATTGATGCTGTAACATATCATTTACTGCATATTGATCTCCGAGCACTGCTCTGAAAGCATTAGAGGTAATTCCATTACAAATCAGCCCATGTTTTGGACGTCCATCCCAAAAAATGAATGAAACTTGGCATATGTTTCTAAATTTTGATAATATCAAACTTTTAGACTCAACCAGATCGAAAGATAGGTATACACTTCGAAGTCGAAAATCCAGCAGTGCAAGATTTCATAGATCTTCTTTTTTTGAAGGAAAAATACTTAGGATAGAGTTACAAATAATGTATCATTTTTTAGCCCTTTAAATTCTACATTGGAAAATATCGATAAAAAATTTAAAAAATTTTAACCGTTTTCTCACTTCCGGTAAAAATAAAAATAGCATTGTTGAGAAGGTATATTTTTTTATTCACTAATTTAGTTGTTTGATGAAAAATAATCGAGAACATTTTCTTCTATAAATTTTATCTAAATTTTTATAAATAAAAATTTTTAATATAGATGGCGTTATATTTAAAAATCATTATAAGATGATGTCCTGCAACGATATGGAGCAAGCAGCCCATATGGATATGATTATAGGGTGCTACAAATTTTATATACAAAACTATTATTTAAAAATACCTCTTAATTTTAATGTATTCCATTTTGTGCTTATTAATAGAATTTCCTGAGGCGATAATTTGTATTTCTTTCTTTTTCTTTCTTTCTTTTGCACGTCCCGTCACTGTTATGTCATCTACTATCGTTATTATTTGATTAATATGGCGGTCACCTTTCTATATTGTTATGTAAAATAAGGATGGCGTCGATTTATGGGAAATACAAAAAAAAATGAAATATATATCTCCTCAGTCTGACCACCCAAAATTGTCATAAAAGCACGTGATCGGCCTTTATTTGACAACCATGGTTAATCTGGACTGGTCTCTTTTTTTCTAAACACGTGTTTGTGACGATTTTTGGTGGTTTAGCCACGTTCCTAAAACAAAGAGAACGAAATTACTGTGCAGAGATTTATCCTTCTTTTACCCCGCACTGTGACGTCAAAGAAATAACGATAGTATTCCCTAACAACGACAGGATATACCCCTACCCCCAAAATTATGGGCTCAATAAATTCTACCGATAAACGGTAAACGGAATACGATAAAGTTGATAATAATTTTTTTCTTGATAATAATCATCCGCATGGGCTGCTTTTGCTCGCATACATATCGCCTCTAGGACATTGTATTCGTTAAACTCGATGAATTTTATTTTTATTTTTTAATACCAATTTAAAATACAAATTTTTTTTAAAAAAATTAAATTTGATCAATATTAGAGAGTTAAATGTGAAAGATAAACATTTTTTTTATAGCTAATATCAAATTAAGGGTTGCTTATTTAAATAACTTAAAAAATAATGAGTATAGGCACTCCGGTACCTAAAGCGGAACGTAACGAGGTGCGGCCAATAGTGTTGTTAAAAACCCCGATTTGGGTAAAAAAATTTATAATCGTCCCGATTAAGATATTACCCAAAAATAATAATGTGTAAGACTCAAGATTTGGTGAGTAGAAGCCCAACACTCCATGCCATCCATGATCGAAATCACCGGGCTTACACGATATAATTTTGGTTATACTTTTAATAATCGGACTTTTTTAACAACACTAGTAGTGGCCAAGTAATAAATAATGCAGAATATAGCCGTAAATCCCGCGACGAAAAAGGGGTTAATCTAATTGTCGATGTTCCTTATAATGGCCTCCTTCCTGTATGGCAGTTTAATTCCCCTTGGTTTCCGTCTACGGAACCCTTGCTGGAATTACTCGCGATTTTATGTAGAATCGTAAAATCTACGAAACGATATATAAATCGTAACTCTAAGATTTAATGAAATCACGCCTCGAGCATATTTTTTTTTCTGCACTTTGAAGACGCGTACCTTTGGATCCGATTGAGTTAGCGTTTCGGAAATTTTGATTTTACTATAAAAAAAATTACAGTTACAAAACTATCTCACGCCGAGTTTATTTATTTTTAAAGATGGTCGTTCCCAAAATCTCCCTATTTTTCCGCCACTTTGACGTGGAATGACCCATAAATAAATTAGGCAGCAGCCTTGGGTCCTACAAAATTATATTATTATTTGAAGGGGCTAAAGTCCTAACATAAACCCCGAATGCAAGTATTTATTAGCGAAAAAAAAAGATGTTAACGTCATTACTTTGGCTTAGAGCCAGCGTTAAACATTCGCATAAAAATGTTTTGCATCGGTAGAAGCACGTATTCCTAGCTTTAATTTTCACTCATTTATTTACATCACATTAAGTGACCGACCAACATGGAGACAAAGCCGCCGCAGCTATCGATGAAACTTTACGTAAACTCAGGACCGACTATATCGACCTTTTCCTCATTCACTGGCCGTATGTAGATGGGCTAGAACGGTCAGATCTTAAAAATGGGGAAATCAGAGCTTCAAGTTGGAAATTCTTAGAGAAGGCCTGCATCGCGGGCAAAATAAAGAGTATAGGCGTGTCCAATTATACCATCAAACATTTGGATGAAATGCTGAAAGATGGTAGCCCGTACAAGGTTAATACATATATTTAGTCAAATTTTTATTTTTCGTAACCTTTTTACTATTCGTACCAGGAGCTGATTTACTTCTCGAACGTATGTATTGAATGCACGAATATATTAATTATTAATCCTATCAGTGTCTCTTGTGAGTCTCTATCACCCCCATGCGTCTTATAATTAATATTTACTTGATAATGGTTACTAGCTTCATTAAATTTATCTCTTGGAATATTATATATAACCAAAAAAATTATTTATTTTGGGCTCAAGACATTTATGACTCTAAGGAAGTTAGATCCGCCCACGTGAGTGCTGCGTGTTATAGATTTGCATTATTTTTTATTATTTGTCGAGTTCATTTTTTTTTGTTATTTGGACAAGTCATCATGAGAAAAATTAAAATTAACCTTGTTATAAATATTATTTTTGTCTAATAAATAGAGAAAATTTTATATTCTTAAAATTAGTAAAAAATTTTGTATTTTTCAAATCATTAGTTAATTTTTTTTGGTTAATTTTGAAATCATATATGGGAATTATTAAAAGTTTTAATATATTGCGTACAATATTTTGGAAAAATAGAAGAGATTATTAGAAGAAAAGCTGAAGAGCGCAAACCATAAAACTGTGCAGCTTGGACCGAATCACGTGGGCCTGGCCTGTATAAAATATTTTCTTGCCGGGTAGGATAGAAGTTAAGAAAATGTTTTTTTATAAGAGTTGATGATTAGTCAAATTTATTATAATTTTCCTTCATAAAAAAAATTTTCCGGGCTCGGTCGATAACGGGCTGGGTTTCTAAAAATTTGATAGAAAATAATTTTCACGAAGCAGACCGTTTTAAAGTAAGGGTTATGTCAGACTCCGCAAGAGCGTTTACGCCATTTTTTTTTCGCGAGAGTACCGAAGGGTTAAACGCATCCATCCTATGTTATATATTCTTGATTACAAATCAGCCATGTTTATTTTTTTTAAAAATAATTTTTCTTTTTTTTGTGGATACATCTACAAAAATAATTACGAATGCTAAATTTTCGATTATATATATATTTATATAAATAAATAATTTTCGGGTTTTTAGATCAAATGCCTTAGTTTCTTTCGCCATTTTTTTTTTGAGCATCCTAGGCTACGTCTTTGCGGGCAACTAAAAATATAGCTACTTTCGTAGCGGACAATAAAAAAATGGTTGAATATATTTCCTAAGATAACTCACCTCTGTTTATGGCCACATTTGTAGCAGACATTTAATATTAATGCGCATAAAAAAATGGTTGAATATATTTCCTAAGATAACTCACCTCAGTTTATGGCCACATTCGTAGCAGACGATTAATATTAATGCTTTTTTTTATTAAAAAAAACTATGGCTACGTCGTAGCAGACGATTAATAAAAGAGCTTTTTATATAATAATTTTTTTCAAAAAAATATTTATAGGCCAGAATCAGGCCGGCCATCGATCAGGTCGAATTCCACCCGTATTTGTACCAAAAGGAAATGCTGGATTATTGCGATGAGAATGGGATGACTCTGGAAGGGTATTCACCGCTGGGCTCGCCCAAATCCAAGGACATCCTGGAGGAAGAGGTCATCAAGAATCTTGCCAAAAAGTATTCCAAGCAGCCCGCTCAAATCGTGCTCAGATGGGAAATTCAGCACGACGTAATCGTTATTCCCAAATCAGCTAATCCGGAAAGGATCAAGGCCAACATCGAGGTATTCGATTTTTCTCTCAGTCCGGCGGAAATGGAATCGATCAACGCGTTGAACAAGAATAAACATTATGCCTCTGATCCGGTCGATATCGCATGAATAATGGGAAAAATATTTTTTAAAAAAGAATCAAATAGATTATTTATTTTATTTAAAAAAAGTGTATATTTTTAAATTATAGTAGATTTTTCCCTGCCAAATTATAAGTTTCTAGTCAAATTATTTTTCATATTTTATTGATATGATTATTTATAGACAAATCACAAATAATGCAAATTATTTATTTTTTAATAATACATAGAATAAAAACCCGGTATAGCTTGAACACTCATTATATTCTTAAACATTTATCACGTGACATCTCTGAATTTTATTGGAAGGGAGTAAAAAGGTGAGTTACCAATGAAATTTGTCGTGAGTGAAGCTAGTGTGGATGAAAATTTGTGCGTAGGTACTCGATTTGAGACGATTTTATAGAAACGGCTAACTCTATTTTATCCAAAAAAATTTATTACGCACGCCGTCGTATTGCTTCGTAGATGTCACTAAGGTTTGGGCATCTATAAGTCAATACCGAAGCGATCTGTAATCCTCAAGTTCCGTTTTCGAACGCCTCCGCATCTTTCCGATTCGCATCCCTCATTCACAACAGCTAAAAAAAATAGAATTGGCGGTAAAAATATAAATGTATTGGGTGAAAAGTGAGATAATTGTTTATTTCTAATAAATTTGAATTTCGAAATGATGTCATCTAGACTAGATACCATCGATATTTTTAAATATAATGGACGAACATGTATAAGAAATATATATATTATTAATAACGTTTATTATATTATGTATAAGAAATATATATATTATTAATAACGTTTATTATATTCACCAATATTTCAATAAAAAATTTATATTTAATTATGAATACAAAACAAAGGTGCCCCAAATAAATATTTCTAAAACACATATCTGTCTAAAATTATTAATAGGGTGAGTAATAAAAGGAAGAAAAAAAGATAAAAAAAATTGTTATGCAAGTGAAATGAAATACTTAAACATACATTTATTAATGCGTGTGTTATTATCCATCAATGGAGTTACTAATTTTAATATAATTTTCTATGATTATATTCATTATGATTCTATTATCGGTCCTAGAAATAATATGATTCCCTAGATTATAGATGAAGGGTAAGGAAGAGGGAAGAGGAGTGTTAAAGTTAGTTAACATAGTTATGAATGGTAATATAGCCGTATCTTCTATTTTCTATAGGGTAATATTAGGCTGTTTATGGCCATAAATTTTATTGCCAGGTCTTTAGGCCCACTTATTTTAAGCCCTTGGCTATATTATATTTTTACAAAAAGTAATTTTGGATTTTTTACTTCTTTTTTTAAAAATATTAACTTTACTAATTTTTCTTTCGAATTCATCTTTATAGTGATATATTGTATATATTTTTGGGGGAGATACGAGGCTGTTATTAGCCTAAGATGATGTTTACGAGAGCAGATAATTTGTGATTGGGAAGGGAGAATTTTTCCTCCCCCTCTCCCTTCTTGATTTTGTTCCTGGATTATAATAATAATTTTAAATTCATAAACGAGTTCTCGTTAAGTAGGATCTATACCATTTATTTAATTGAAACATAAGAAAAGTTCTGATAGTCGAATTAAAAATAATATTGATGTAGACGTTTACGGCATGATTACTATCCTTTAAAAAAATTAGGATAACTTGAACTTTGGCTAACTTGCTTGATGCTCCATCTACCCAAGTTTGTTTTGTTATAAAAACGTAAATCACATATGGTAAATTTAATAACATAAATTCAATGCCAATAGCTAGAGTGAGAATGTACTTGTCCAGATAAGATTTTGTGGTCTTATTATTTTGGCCACTTTTCGGCAAATGGGATCTTATAGAAGGAGTCACTTGGGCTGAAGGAGCAATTTTCGGGCTTATACTATTGAAAAGTTTACCTAGGCGACCTTTAAGGCCTAATTGACTGGTTCTATTATTCTGATCGGGTATTGTTAAACTCCTTTCTAGATGTGCGGAAATATTTGATTCAACATGCGATTGAACATTGATAGTTCTTTTGAGTTTTTTCAATTTCGCGAAAACGGAAATTTGGGAGAAAGTGATTAGCAAAGTGGGAAGTAGGTAGACTAGAATACTAAAAAAATTGTCGTAATGAATGGAAAAATAATCAAAAAATTTACTCATCTTATAATAGTAAGAAAATTTGATAGGATTTTTTGGCAGTTTGGAATCGCATGAAACCTGTCGATATAATACTACCACCGTCGTATCTTGTCTAGAAGAATTCATGTCCCTAACACCCTTCTTTAAATCTATGTAAAATAAGTAAGGCATCGAGATAAACAGAGAAAAAATGAAAATCGAGGCCATTAAGATTATGCCACTTTTTCTTGTTTTCTTCAGCGTGAATAGATGGCTACTATATTGGCGAATATATTTTAAACACGCATTGTTTCGCACGCTGTATCTTTGAGAGGGCTCGTTTTTGCCGCGATTCCGATTTGTCAAGTTAGCGAATTGGTAAGGGAAATACAGCGCCATGAATCTATTCATGGACAGAATCGTGGTATTCCAATTTAGGTTGGTGGCGCATACTTCTTCCACGAATGGCGTGACTCTAGTTATTATGGTCATGAATATCTCGTTCGAGATCCCCAAGTCGCTACTCGCGTAGTAGAGGAACGGGAAAAAGATGAAATTTACGCACGCGATAACGTCCCAGAATAGGATCGTGAATATGATAACGTAAAAATGCGACGTAGAGTCGTTCACGATTTTGTCCGATGGCTTGAGAGAGACATTTTTTTTCGGGTTGGTTCGATGTTTGTCAGAATTTTTGGTAGAGAGGATGATATCATCTTTGTCGAGGTGATTGTCATTCTTCGTATTTGATGGACCGCTTTTATCTTTGTCGTCGCGCGACATTTTTCTGGAGACGATAAAATAGAAAATATTGCCTATGACGCCTAAGAGGAGAAATGGCCCCAAGATGTACACGTAGGTCAATTTTTCCAGCCAAGTGATTTCCTTCTCCACGTATTTATTTAAAGTGATATTGGCGAAGCATATCAAGGAAAGATTGTAAACGTTCTTCATGTTTATTCGATGATTTGCTATAATCGTCAAGTCTTGATGTGTAAACAATTATTATATTTTCTTATAATTCATTTCTTTGTCTCTTTTTTTCCTATTTCATCTTTTTATTCATTCTTTTTTTCATTGTATCTAGTTTTGGTTTTCACATACCGAATCAAAAAATGGTATTAATTTTTTTTCAAAAAAATATAATATAGATGGATTTTATTTTTATTGTATTGAATATTATTTTTTTTGCCATATATACATTTGGAAATATTTATTTTATTTGGAATATTTAAAAAAATAAACAGTATATTTTATTTATTAAATTTTAAAAAATGTAAAAACAATACTTATTAATACAAGATATATATATATACACTATTAAATAGCCCGTCAAAAATGACTGGAAATGAAAATTATCTTCTTAATTTTATGCATGTTACATGATATTTGAAAATAATATCCATTTTAATTCTTCTTACCCCTTCATCCCTTGAGGAAAGGTATAATCCATTAAAACTAAGTGCTATATTTTGAGTAAAAATAAATTTAAAGCATTTACTTGATAATACCAATATTATTTGTTAAATATTACTGATTACTTATACCTAATATTTAATATTAAAAAAAATTTCCAGGCAAAGTCAAAAGCCATATTAATTATGAAAATTCTTCCAAGCCCAATGAAAGATCACAATGGTAGTTGAGAACTGAAATAAAATATTTTAATAATCATAATGAATTTAAAAATACAATCAAAATTCAGATTTTCATGGGCCTTGGTTTTTTGATCAGGTCAAGCCCAGGCCTACAAAAAAATTTGTTTTGCGCCAATGTCTGACCTATAATTATTAATAATTAAATTCTCAAGCGTCTAAGCTTATAAAAATTTTGAAAAATTTTCCCCAAGCCCAGCCCAATATAATTTATAAAAATATTTTCCAAGCCCAGCCCAACCCATAATAATTTTATAAAAAAAAATTTATCAAACCTGGCTAACCGATAGCAATTTTCCAAGCCTGGAGATAGGTAAATTTCTAAAAACCATATCTATTTTTTAAGTCTATTTTAACCTAGCTCACTCCAACCAAGGCCAATCCATTAAGACTAAGAGTGAATACTATTTTTTTGAATAAAAATATATTTAAATTAGATTTTACCTGAGGGCCATATAAATATTCTGTGTTAAATATTACACCTATGCCTAATATTTAAAAATTCCCAAGCCAGGTCCTCGCACTTGGTTTTCTTAAACCCGCAAAAGACCATAATAATTTTGATAGTTGAGGACTGAAATAAAATATATAAGTCACAATGCATTTAAAAATACAATCAGAATATGAAATTTGCATGGGCCTTGGTTTTTGATCAGGCCTTGCCATGTCTTTAAAAGAAATTTTCAGGCCAATTTCTAGTCCATATTTAAAATTAAAAAATTCACAGGAATCTTAGACTATAATAATTATGAAAAATGTTTCTCAAGCTAGGTCCAAGTCCATATTAATGGTGAAAAATATTTCCCAAGCCCAGGAAATCCCAAATAATTTATTTGATCCAGAAAAATAGGTCTGATGTAAGGGGCTTATAAGAATTAAATCTGTCTAATTTCAAAATTATAATCAAATGAAGGGTAAATTTCTGATTTACCTATGATTCTACTGGTGAGCTCCTGGTATTTATATGAAATTCATGAATACATATTAAAGTACCATTCTGAAAATGTGTTCATCCTAATTTAAATTTTAAACAAACCATTTTAAATTTTGATATTTCCAATACATGCTCACAGTACACATTGCAATAATTTTACTCTTAAATTTTAATATATATATAAAATTTATTAATAAAGTATATTTAATATCATACACACCAACTAAATAATTACCCTTCAACACATGGTTTTTTGATCAGTTCTGGCTGTCTGTAAAAAAATTTCAGACCAATCTATAACCCATATTTAAAATTCAAAAATCTTAGCACCTCTATTTTAAATTTTATTCAATATGATTTATTTCTAATACATGCTCACAGTATACATTGAACAATTTTATCTCTTTTACTCTTAAATTTTAATATTTATATAAAATTTATTAATAAAGTATATTTAATATCATACACACAAACTAAATAATTACCCTTCAACACATGGTTTTTTGATCAGTTCTGGCTGTCTGCAAAAAAATTTCAGACCA